CTCGGCGACGTCGGGCTTCTTGGCGACGTCGGGCTTCTTGGTGTTGGCCTTCTTCGGGGGCGCGTCGTCCTTGTTGGCGTTGGCGACGTCCGTCTTGATGGGGACGTTGGCCTCCTCAAGGACCTCCTGGACACCGCCAAGATCGTCCATGTAGACGGTGCCCTGGCCCGACGGCATGCGACCCTTTGTCTGCTCGACGGTCGTTTTGCCAAACGGCCATCGCTGCATCGTGCCCCTTCCAGATCCGGAGTTGAAGTTGGTGACTTTGACGTCAAACCAAGTCTTCTTGGGCTTGAGGGCGGGGTGCAATATCTCCCCGGGCGAGGCGTTCGCGACCGTCGGCAGCGGCAATTGACCGTACTTCCCTTTGAGCTTCGGGTCGTGGAAGGGGTAAATATGGACACCCCGGTCCGCGTTGCGCCGAGGCAGGTCGCTGCGCGGGAAGTTGGTGAGCTTGACCGGGGGCAGCATCGTACAGAGTGTCGTTGTTTTGCTGAATGGTATAGAATACGATTGCAAAGGTGATGGTGAGCGAGTTACAAGCAAAGGCGTCCACTTTGACAAAGTACGATTGGTGAGCATAGGGATCTGGCATCTCAACGAAGCTGGAATCAGGCAAAGCATGCGTTCGGCGTGCCAGGGACCCAGCTCATCGCTCTCATTCTCGACTAGAGCATTCAAAACAGTGCAAGAACGCTCAAGTTTCTCATTCAACAGTGGCCGTCAAGTCCAACTGAGGGCCTCGTTCTGCTTGTATGAGCTCGACGAGGGGCAAGTATCCATTTCCCATTCAAACGCGCGACGAAACGCAAAATGCAATCGTTTTCCTCTCGCTCAAAACGCCCTTGACCAACCTCGTTCTTCTTTGTCTTGAGCACTCGTCATCTTTGCCCTGCTCTTCCCGTCCATGCAAATGTCATTGCTCTGTGTTACTACGTCGCACTCTGTGAATGGAGCAAAAACGACAAAGGTGGCACCCTTTTTGAGCGCATATAGTCGCAGTCTTTGACAGCCGCCGCCGGTTAAATCAAACGAAGAAATGAAAAAGATCAATTTTTTTTAAACCACAAATTTTCAACAGCGTTCACCTTGCAGCCGGCTTTACTGCCGATAATCATGGACAACTTGAGCAGCTTGCGGCGGGCAATGACAGAGAACCATGACTGTGCTGGCAGAATGTCAGTTCGGAAGGCGCCGGGTTGCCAGGCTGGACAGCGCCGCTCTCACGAGGCGCGCGATTGTGCTCATTTACGAAATTGAGTGACCTCTCGCCTGCCTGCGCCATATGTTGTACAGTACTCTTCATTTATAAAATGGCCGCCCTCGTCAGTCTTTTCAAGAGCGGTCAATCGGTTGTCGGACTGTTCGAAGTAATTCATTCTCAGCCATGATGTCTTCCCGCACATTGGTCCTAGCTGTCTGTGACAACAGCGCTTTCTCTGTGGATCCAAACCGGGGAACATATCTGAATCGGAGAGAGGGAGGATTAAAATAAATAAATAAATAAAAAAGCTTGGCGCCTGCAGCAATTTTCCAGCCCGACCCTGCATGGACGTTTTTCAGGTTCTCGACGATCGGCCCGAAGCCCTCTGGTCTCGACTCCTCGCTTGTGGCTTTGCCAGCTGGCTTTCTCAGCCACTTCTTGGCAAGCGCTGCCGAGGGCTGAGCTCAGGTTCATGTGCGGAAGCATCCGTTCCGGGTAGATTGAGCTTTCTCGGCAGCAAAGAATGAGATCTGCCCCCACAAACACATGAATGATTCTCGCATGAATTTACAGTAAGGTTGTATGCGTTCCGATTGACATGTGGTGGACAAAGAGTCGTCGCACAGTTGTCAAAGAGTCGACAGACAGTCGCCGAGCAGTCGACGGACAGTCGACACTCTCGACAGGACAGTTGTCGGACAGTCGACGCTTGCAACAGGACAGTCGACGCTCGCAACAGTCACTTCGACACACCTGACAGCAATGAAATGTGTTCCGTTGCTCCTTGACTGCCGCGCAGAGCAATCATGTGAGAGCTGCGTGTGACCAACAGGACGGCGGCATGATGCATGACAACGGACGCTTGTGACAGATAGCGGGATACGTTCGACAGCCACATTTCCCTTACAACGGCAAGGCTCGACAGCAATGAAAACGTGTTGAAAGCAAAAGCACGGTGCTGATGGCTTGCCAGCGCATCGTCAATCCACCTTGATACCATCGCGCCGGACTGCTTGAGAGATGGCACGTTGCGGTCGTTGGTGGCTGATCCGGCGCTAGCCGGAATCGGCGCGGCGTCTTCCGGACGAGCTCGGGCTTTTCGCCGATAAGGAACACAGGCTTGATGACTGGAGGCCCTCAACAGTTGCTCCGCCATGCGCTCTCTATGTACCTTTTCACGAGCATCAAATCAAGTTTCACAGGATGAAGGCAGGTTCCGCCGCACGCACAGACAGACAGAACAGAGATGAGCAAAGGGGAACGGCGGCGAGGGGGATGTAGTAGGGCGAGGAGGAAGGGGGCATCGAAAGGCATAAAAGAGCCCCGTTTCGACCATCACCCTCGCTCCCTCCCCACCCACCCAC